GGGCTGGGGCTGTGGCACCTCTGCACCGGGCCCCAGCGGGGCACCCGCCGTCCCCTCGGCCTGCTGGTGGGCAACCTGGGCCTGGCCGACCTGCTGTACATCAGCACGCTGCCCTTCCTCGTCTGCTACTACCTGCAGGGCAGAGTGTGGCTCTTCGGGCAGGGCTGGTGCCGGATCACCAGGGGCCTCTTCCACCTCAACCTCTACGCCAGCATTGGCTTCCTCACCTGCATCAGCATCCACCGCTACCTGGGCATCGTGCACCCGCTGAAGATGCGGGGCAGGTGCCAGGGGGCAACCTCTTCTGTGTGGTTCAGCGTGATGGTCTGGGCGTGGGTCATTGCACAGGTAGCTCCCAGTTTTGCCTTCAGCAAGATGGACAGCACAGGGACGCGGTGCCACGACACGACAGGGCACGAGAACCTGAGCATTTACCTCCCATACACCGTGGCTGTCACCATGACTGGGTTCATCATCCCGTTCCTCACCATCATTGGATGCTACTGCCATGTGGTGCTGGTGCTCTGCAGGAACGATACCATGGACCTCAACCTCAGGAGAAGAAGCATCAGACTGGTGGTTCTTGTGATGGTCCTCTTCTCCATCTGCTTCCTCCCGTACCACATCTTCAGAAACCTCAACTTGCTGTCTCGAGGCTGGCAGCTGCAAGGGTCCTGCACACAGGCTTTGAAGAACATCTACGTTTCCTACCAGGTGACCCGGGGCCTGGCCAGCTTCAACAGCGCCCTCAACCCCCTGCTCTACGTGATGACCAGTGAAGACTGCATGTCGCGCCTGAGGACCATCCGCCAAAGAGCCAGCCAGTCCCTGGGGTGCACCTTCAAGAGGAAAACCTCTTGCCAGGTGGATGAGAAGACGAAGATGACCATTCTTTGTGAAGAGGAGGCTTGTGATGAGCTCTGAGGTACCCAACACCCCCTCTGAAGGATGCACCACTTCAGTTTGTGCTCGGCCCCTTCTTGGGAGCAACCCCCCCACCTCAATGCCTGTTTTGCAGAGAGATGGTGACTGCAGCATCACTGGCTCCAGTCGCACACAAGGGATAGACAGGACTGGCAGCATCAGAGAGCAAACTGGGACCAGGTTTTAGAGCAAAGCTATTCAAACCAACTGTTTTGCCTACAATACACCCACAGATGGAAAGAGGTAAATGTTGCATTTACTCCAGTCCTGAAGTATTTCTCAGTCCAGGCTCCAGCGGAGCGCTCAGAGCTGGTTAACATCCCCCCAGATCCCTGGCTGCCCATGGATCTCCTCAGTGAGCAAGGGATGGGGTGAATGATCCCTTGTTCCCCGTGCTGCATCCCCCACTGGCCGTGGGCTGGAGACGGGATTCCTTCCTTTACCCAAGGAGAGGGCACCAGTAATCAACTCCCTGCATCGCAGGACAGCTGAGAGGGTGAATTTTTGCAGGGGGGGGGAAGTGCTTTGGAAATGGAAACATTCATAAAAATATGAGGTTTTAAATACATGACTAAGCTGTGCCAGTTCCTGGGTTGGTTGTTCCTGGGTGACTGAGCTGCATCAGGATTTGTGTTATCCTCTACTGCCCACCTCCTTTGCAGAAGAAAAAAGAATTTTAGCATTACTCACTCCCTGCTGGAAGATCACAGAGCAGACAACAACAAATTGGCATTTTAAAGTTTCTGGAGGCTGTTGGTTGGGTTTGGGTTTTTTTGCAAGGTGAACGACTGAAGTAGCCTGAACTGCTGCTCTCAGCAGGCAAATCCCAGGAGAGTTTTGGAATCTTCAGGTGAGTGACTGCATCGTACTCTTGCATCCAGCCTCGTGAGGGGATTAGACATGTCTAAGGAAAATCAGACATGAAAAAAAAGAGAGGCAATGCTGGTCCGAAGGCTTGTGAAGGCAAGATTTTATGGCGAGGGCGGTCCATGTGTCGTCACCAGGGGAAGCCATGGGGATTTCTGCTCCCGAGCGGCATGTTGGTTTTTGCTCTTGGTGTTCCCCACCATGAACAGCCCAAACATCTTGGTCCTTATAAAAGCAGCAATGAGATTTGCAACAGCAGATCTTGCAGCTCAGCTGGAGGAAGTGGATTGTGAGTTAAAATCAGCACTTTCTGGGAAAGTGCCGACCCACAGAGACTGTGTTCTTTGGACCAAAGCCCGGTATTTATCACGATCAGCTGCTCCTTGCACAGACCCACCTTTGCTCCTGTGTGGAGGGAGCCACAGCTGGCTTTCAGATGGAGTTAATACCTCTAAAGTGCAAATAAATGCCTAATGCTTTCAGTCGTGAGTTGTTTGACTTCTTTCAAACTGCGGTGGGTTGACCTTGGCTGGATGCTAGGTGCCAGCAAGCTGCTCTATCACTCCCCTCTTTAACTGGACAGAGGAGAGAAAAGTAGATCCAAAGGCTCGTGGGTCGAGATAAGGACAGGGGGAGATCATTCCCCAGTTACCATCATGGGCAAAACAGACTCAACTTGGTAAAATTAATTTAATTTACTATCAATCAAAATCAGAGAAGGAGAGGAGAAAAACTGCTGAATCTTAAAACACCTTCCCCCCACCCCTCCCTTCTTTCTGGGCTCAACTTCACTCCCAGTTTCTCTACCTACTCCCCCCCAGGAGCGCAGGGGGATGGGAATGGGGCTTGGGGTCATTCATCACACGTTGTCTCTGCCGCCTCTTCTTCCTCAGGAGAGGACTCTTCCCCTGCTCATGCCTGGGGTCCCTCTCACGGGAGACAGTCCTCCACAAACTTCTCCAACGTGAGTCCTTCCCACGGGCTACAGTTCTTCACAAACTGCTCCAGCATGGGTCCATAATTTCCACGGGGTGCATTTCCTCAGGAGCAGACTGCTCCAGCGTGGGTCCCCTGTGGGGTCACAAGTTCTGCTGGCAAACCTGCTTCAGTGTGGCCTCCTCCCCCCACGGCTCTGCAAAGTCTTGCCAGGAACCTGATCTGGTGCAGGCTTCCCACAGGGTCACAGCCTCCTTCCTTTCGACATACCTTGGTGTCTGCAGGGCTGTTTTCGCTCGCATCCTCTCACTTCTCTTCTCTCTCCGGCTACTGAGACACAACTGGTTTTTTTCCTTCTTAAATATGTTATCACAGAGGCGCTTCCACCATCTCTGGTTGGCTTGGCCTTGGCCAGTGGCGGACACCGGGAAAACTTCTAGCAGCTTCTCACAGAAACAACCCCTGTGGTGCCCCCACTACCAAGACCTTGCCACACAAACCCAATACATAAACCTTTACAGGGACACAGGAACCAGCTGGCCTGCGGGCTGGAGCAGGGGCCTGGCTGCTGCAGGGAGCGGTGACGAGTTTCCCAGGGCTCTGCAGAGGAGTAGCTGCTGGGACTGCTGCCTGCATGCATGGCGAGACTGCAGGCAGCCAGTGGAGAGCAGTGCTGAGCCAGGCACGCACTGAAGTATGGCCTCAGAGTCCGCTCAGCACCAGGCAGGGGTCCTGTAGAGCCCTGAAACTTTCAGCTCCCACCTCACCCAGAGAAAACCCAAAGACAAAGCTTCAATTCCTGAATGAGATGTTCTTCTGTCTCTGCAGTAGGGGAGATCCTTGGGACATTAGGATCAGATCTGCCCTCTGCTCTTTGCACACACTCTGGATCTAGTCTTCTCCAGAGCTCTGAACTCTTCTCCTCCTTTTCTGAAAAAACACCCACACCTCTGACAGCTGTCCAGCTCTTCCATCTTCCCACATGGATCCCATCCAAGATGCTACAGCTCCCCACAGAACTGGCTTCGGCTCCCCACAGCCCGTAGAAGCGGCAGCACCCTGGCG